CACAAACGTGAAGAACCGCGAAGAAGCCTTGTCTAAAGAAGAGGTCGAGTCACTCTTTGGTCTACTTGTAGCAGTGGTAGGTATTGGGAGCATTGTCGGCTGCCTCACCGCCGCTTCTATTGCTGACGCCATTGGTAGGTAAGTATGACGAACGCTTTGAACTGTTGTCTGAATGTTTGCTCTGTTGCCGTTGTGTTACCGTCTTCATCGTTCTACTCTTTCTGCTCTTCGTCTTTGGCATCTATATCATCATCATCATCATCATCATCATCATCATCATCATCATCATCATCATCATCAACAACAAATACAACAACAGCAACAACAACAACAACCAACAACAACAGCATTATGCAGCAGCAGCAGCAGCAGCAGCAGAAATCTTAAAGTAAAAGCATGGCTAGGATGTATTTCTTGACAATAAGAAGGCTCAAAGCCTTAAGTTCAGGTATTGTCATCACCATTACCAAAATTTGGAATTTAAGTTGTAACAAAAAATGGAAGTCTCTGTTATTTCTTACGTCAGACGAGACGAGTAGATCCACGTCAGACTACAAACTTTTAGCATAATTATAATTTATAATAGTGCAGCATGTCCACACAAGGGTTCCCATATCTATCTCGCCATACTATGTTTGTCCTCAGAAAATTTGGTATCTTTCTGTCGTCTGTGACAGGAGCATGTGGCACTCTCATCATGGCTCTGGCAGAGACCGCAGGCTCCTATGAGATGCTGTTCGTGGGGAGGGTCGTCTTGGGCGTTGGTCTAGGTGAGAAGGATGGAACTTTTTTGGTCGCTTTTAAGGACAAGCGGTCTAACCCAGATTTCGTGGGTTTTCAGAAGTGGGCATTGCCCTACCTATAGGAGAAGTTTGGTTTCATTGGTGTGTATATTTGTTTGGTTATAGAGAAAACTCTCCCTGTCTTTCAAAGAAACTGAGCGAGGGACAAAAACTTTACCTTTGATTTTTTCAAAACAGCATTTTTTTTGGATAGCCCCCTTGAGCTTAAAAGCGACCATTTGACTTACTACGCACGTGTGGGGGCCTCTAGTTACATGGGACTGCATGAGGTCCCCATTCTATCCTCATTTGTTGAGGGATACATGTAGATCTTGTCAGTACAGAAAGTAGATTTTCTTAAAAATCTCGATCCGTTATGAAAAAGAGTAATGCGTAAGGAACCAGCAGCATTGATGCTCAACCATACCCACTTCGTTTACAGCCTTTATGGCACTAATGGCATCACTGGATCGGGTTACAAAACCACTCCCAGAGAGGACTTAAAGAATGTGACTTGTGTTATATACCATTGTCTCTCGAGACGGATGGATGACCTACTTACAAAAGTATAATGAAATTAAAGACAGAGAGTGGATTTTTGTATAGAGAATAATTGTGAACAGACTATTCATCCAAAACAAATAAGTCATCCAAAAAGAGTCAGGAGCCCTGATGAGGAAATAAAGGCAAGGACTTAGGAGTCACATTTGACCCTCTGCTGACCTGGTGTGAGCACATTCAAGAAGACCAGAAGAAAGGAACAAAGAGGGTAGCGCTGCTCAAGAAAATGGCCGGAACAAGCTAGGGTGCAGACATGTCAATCTTCAAGAAAACCCACGTAGGATATATGAGACCGTTCATAAAGTATGGGATGGTCTCATGGGGAACTACCGCCTAGTCAAACCTCCAAAAGGTTTTAAGAGTGCAAAACCAAAGCCTGAGAATTGTCCACAGGAGGAATTAAAAGCACACCAATGAATTATGTGGAAGCAGTAACAGGTCTGGAACCGATGGAAGATAGGAGAGTAAAAACAAGACTGACCCAGGGCACCAAATTCCAACATCTCACAAATCATCCCATGCACCAAATGATGACAAATAAACCGAAGAAAAGACTGAAACAAGAACCTTGCTTTACCAGACCTTGAACAAGATGCCCCAATTCAGACAACAAAAACTTTTGAATCAGCACAGCCATCAAGAGATCATAAAGGAATTGACAGCAAAGGAGCTATATCCGAGAGCCTGACACACCACTTGACCCACGTCATGCTCAGAGAGAGGTATCCACCAGATCAATGGATCAAAGCATTCACACATACATCAGTAGCAGAAGAAACACAAGACGGAGGTGGAGGTATCAACAGAGAGTAAGCTTGACGAGACAAGTTCGAGCATTAGCAACAGGAAAATACTCCACCAACTATAAGGCAGAGACAGAAGCTCTCCAAGAGGCAGCTAAGGTGCTCGGAAACAGTGAGGCCACATACAACAGGGAAAGTGATACTTTCCGCAGACGCAAGATCAGCCCTGTAATCCCTGGAGAACAACAAGAGTACTGAACTCAATGCCCTGAAAATAGCTATTATGGCACTAAACTCTACAGCCAGCAGAGTTGTCTTGTAGTAGATTCCTGGGCACGTCGACATTTTTGGAAACGAATGTGTTGAGGAAAGGAGGACAATTGGAACAAACCCACCGCAGCCCCAACTACCAGGTGGCTAAAACACTCATCAAGTCAGTTGTCCATGCCCATAGAACGAAAACCCCCAACACAGAAGAAAGGACCCAATCTACCAGCTCCCAAGAGCCGACCAAGTGATAATCTTCAGACTCAGAACAGCACACAACAGGCTGAAGCATCTACCATGCCTTACAATAACCATAAAGTATGTACCCTATAGGTAAAGAAAAATGTTTGAATTATGCAAATTAGGCTTCCATTATGGCCCTCGAAGGCAAAATTTAGACATATTACTTGGAAGACTGTATTTCATACAATTTTTAGAATTTTTGCATGAAACTTTCAGGAAATGTTTTTGAATACCCAATGCAAGTCCCAAACCTCTAAAGTAGGTGTTGGGACAAAATTGTGAGTTTATATAGATGTTGAATGAGCAAGTGATGAAAACAAAATTTAAGCAGCCTACTTAAGTTTGCAAGAACCAAATTTAAACTACTGTTTTCAAATGGAGCCGTTTTTTTAGGTTTAGGACATGTACCACTATCTTGGGAATATGTGTTCAAAATTTCGGAAGGATATCTTGAGCAACAGTGATTTTATGGATTGTAACAACCAGTATGAGAACCCAAAATATTTTTTTTGGAGAAAATGGACCAAAAACGAACAAACAACGACAACAAGGAATTGTAAGGACATTGAAATTCTAAGTTCAGACTAGAGCCAAACTTTGAGGCAGGATTGAGTCCACAAGAAACAGTTAGCTCAGCACTGTCAGTTTGGAAGAGTTCTAGTTTTATTATAAATTCACTTTTTGCGTTTCAAATTGCCATTTTTGGGGAAAAAATAAGGTAGCAATCTACGTAAACTGACTGTTGGGATTGACATGGGTATGCGAAAACCTGGATTTACAAAAAAAGGAGACTGTTTTATTATTATTTTTAAAAAAAATTCATTTGGGTCTTGTTCATAAATGGTGTAGATACACATAGGGGGCAAAAACAAAAAATACAGTAAAATCTTGATGTTTCATGATATCAAAGCATCCTGGTACCTGAAATGATTAATTTCTGGGTTGCCTGATGCATGTTGATTAGTCCATTTTGTCTTACTGGAAAAACGCGTTAAAAGACAGAAGGTAGACACACAACTTTCAAGTCTTGCTGGCTTTGAATTTGACCAAAATATTCTCTCATCTCTAAGTACACATATCCTAGTAATGCAAGGAATTGAAACGATAATGTTCACCCAGACACTCCAATATACCCTTAAATCGACCCACATTGTGCTAAATCGTCATGTTTTTCTCTCCAGGATGGAATCTTACCATTGCCCCGTCTTATTTGGCCGAAATGTGTCGGCCCAGCATGAAAGCGTTTGCTGTGGTGCTCAACATGCTGTTTCAGAGTTTTGCCTTTATCGTCGCGCAGGTCTTGGGGTATGAGGAATTCCTGGGGAACAAAGAGCATTGGAGCCTTCTTATTGGTGGGTAATGGAGTCCAGAACAGGCCGGATATCCTTATTCTCAATGTAATGATGATTTTTAAAAATGATTTAAAAAAAATAATAATAACTGTCATAAACTGATGATGGCCTGTAAACCTTATTATGGCTTTGCTTGTGACCTTTTATTGCTATTTTTTATATAGAGTATTTACCCTTCACATCTGAACATAACAACTTTAAATGTGACATAGGTGAAATGTGACATAGGAAGGTCAAATGTGACAAGTTATTTCAAATATGAACACAGAAACCGCAAAATTGCACATTGTGCGTTCAAATGAGAAAATTGCTACTTCAAATGTGAATGAATGCAAAAACAAATGTAACATTCCGAGGGTAAATATAGCAAAGCTGTAAAGGGTTTCAAAACAACAACCCCTCCACTCCCAGTCCTTTCCTCGAGTAGAAACACTAGCTTGTAGGGATGTTAAGCGAAATAATTGATATAAAAATATAAACAGAAGGGTACTTATTGCTTTGTTTTAACACATAACAAAAACAAGCAATACTCCACGTGATCTATACGCCCCAAGCACACAACATGTAGGAAAACTTAATTAGTTCTTGTACATGAGGATAGTATATAAAATATGTGCGGATCTTAGAAAGTGCTCTATGTTCTTTTTATCAGACTGCCTTTATTCTTTCGAGCATTCAATAACTACCACCGTTTCTACGAGCTTCTCTTGAATGAAACATTCATAACAACCACGAATGTTCCGTACCGATGTTTGTGGTGTGGTGGGAAGGCTCCTCGAGATTTCACACAGCAGACTATAGTGCAATTCCCGTGTGGGGTAATTTTTTATGGGGTACAAATAATTGTCTTCCTGCCTTTCTGCTAGCCGTTCCCTCTGTAGTTTCTGTCTGTCTTACTTTTTGCATCACTAAATCACCATCATTGTGTCGATGTGCTTCTCTTTACTCAAACAAACAAAAAAACCCAAAGCCTTTCTCCTGAGACCTTGTATCGCTGTCAGCCCAGGTTGGCCCTGACTGAGAGGGTCGAAGCAGCGCACCTCCTAACTGATCTAATGATGTTGATGGGGGTGTGCAATTTCTACAATTATATATTATAGTATTTAACAGATGCTCCTCTGTAGTGTTGCTTTCTACTTGCACAAAAACAATCATTGTTGTCTTTACATAGTTGGCCAAGGTGGCTAAAAATCATTAAACATCTCTCCAGGTCTACCAGTGGTGGTCATTGCTGTGCACTTGTTGCTTCTGATGTTCTGCCCAGAAAGTCCAAGATATTTACTTATGAAAAAATCTGACTATGAAGGAGCGAAAGCAGGTTTGATGCGAATCTTGGTTGATACATGTACTACTAGATAGTGCTCTTAAACTATGTTTTGTTCTACCTCTGAACAATTAGACCAAATAAGCACGCAAATAAAACCACTAAATGCAGTATTATTGGTGAGCTGGAGTTAGGAGAGGATGTTCAATGTTTTTTCCACGCCAAATCGTGAGGAAAATATAACATTCAGGTGACAACTTTGTTTAAGAGATTATTTCGAGACTGCAAAGAATTGTATTCTTTACAGTCAAATCTGATATCTTGCAGAAATTCGATCATCAAAAATGAAAATGAATTATATTTTAAATTCTAAGAGAGCAGATTTTTGTTCAAGTAAAGAAAACAGGGAATGGAATCCTGACTGTTTCATTCATTGGTAATTAATTGAGGGTGGATTTTGTTTTCTAAAATTCCATAGGTAAACAATTTTTTTCCAATTAATTAGCCCATTGAAAAAAAAAAGAATTGGCAAACAGATTTTTTCTTGTATTTTTTGTCTGTCAGCGCTTCGAAAAATTCGCGGCATAAAAGACGTTCAATACGATATCGACCTGCTCAACGAAGAACTGGCGGAATCAACGGTGGATGCACAAGTACGGTAACTTTTTACTATCTGTCTACTGTATGGTGCAGGGTTTACGTCAGTTTCAACACTGTAAACTATTTCAAAAGGCGGGAATTTACAGGTGTCTGTGGTATTGCTTTCACTCGTAGAAGACGTGAAGTCACTTTCTGTGTGGAGATAATATTTATCAAATATCTCCGTCTGTCTGTAGGGACGTTCAATGTGACAGCCAGGACCGAAGCAGTCCGCCTCCTTAATGATCTGAACTATGTTAATATGGGCCTAAACCACCTACAAGTTGAATAAAATTCCAGAAATGTAACGTTCATTTTCAATAGGTCTAGGTCAAGTAAGTGGCACGCCTTACAATCTTCCCAAGCAAAAAGCTAAATTCAAGATCAAAGTAGGAATCAGATTTCAGCTATCCTGGATTGCCAACTGAATGAAACACACACTTTCTTTCCTAATTTCATGGCATTTAACTTATAAAGAAGGGTCTAAGCATAATAAGTCTTCCGTCAACATGGTACCGTCATGACTTCCTCCGAGATGAAAATCTAGTACCGACCTGCTTGGTGATTTATCTATCTATTTTCTTTTTGTTGTGTTCTTTCCAGGAGATGGCGAACTACTATCTGTCTCGCTGAACTGTTTGGGAGCTGGGCAAAGTTTGAGCTTTGTAGAGGGTCGTAAACAAATGAATTTGAAAAAAAAATTGTTTGACCGCTATCTGCAAAATCCAACGTTGGTCTTCTTTAGAGCGTCCAGAAATTTAAGAGAACCCTTTTTCATCCCACAAATTTCATCTTCGTATTTTATGGTATCCGTAAATATCCCAGCGTATTTTTGTCCCTCATAGAAGACGTGAAGCCACTCCGATTCCACAATAGTTTAATGATGCAGGGAGAGAACTTTTAGTAGTTTCATGTATATAACTTCCGTTACCAAGTCTAGAGCTTGTTGTCCCCCCCCCCCTTACTTTTTTTTGCACGCTAGAGTTTGTATCGGACTGAATTAAGAATGTAGATCAGTTGTGAACCTGCCAGTGTGCAAACGTAAGTGGGTACTTTTTAGATTAATAGATCGCGCTTTTGAACTTATAGGATACTTTGGCCTTTTATGTCTTGAGAGAGAGAGAGGGAGAGAGAGAGAGAGAGAGAGAGAGAGAGAGAGAGAGAGAGAGAGAGAGAGAGAGAGAGAGTGAGAGAGAATGTGTGTGTGTAGGTCGCTTGTTAGTATCGAATAGTAATCGGTACATTATCATTTATGTTAAAAAAAAGAACAAAAATCAGGGTATTGGCCTTTAACTATCGACAGTACCTGTGGAATATCTCTATGAAATCAATCCCGTGACAAATGAACTAGGTTTAAGTCATTCTCAAACTGTATTTTATAACACGAATAAAAAACAAACCAAGTCTACCATAAAAAGGAGGGAATAAAACAGGTTAACTTGTGACTGAGCCTGTTGATCTTTTCATAATGTATTTTCTATGCTCTCCTCACCAGATCTCAGTGATCGGCCTGGCGAAATCCCCCGTCTTGAGGAAACCACTGATCATTGCTATCGTGCTGGGCTTACAACAGAATTGGTGTGGTACAAACGCAGTAAGAGCAGATAAACCATTAGATCTGTATAGAATACACGTGGGCTGAAGTAGAAGTAAGAAAACGGTTATAAAATGACGTTTTGTCATGATTGAGATACAGCTTACCCAATAGGTTGGCTAAACATTTTCTTTTTTTCCCCATGAGCCTTGAACTATTTTTCCAATCCCTGAATGCATGAATGCCTGCCATCCCGGTAGAATGCTGTGCCAATCTTTGACGCACTATTATATATACAATGTTTATGTCATCAGTGATTGCGTTCACTATCCAATCTACCACCGGAGATGATAAGAAAAAGCGGAACGTATGATGTGCGACTGTTGAAGGAGAAAGGGTCCGGGAGAGAGGAAAACTAAGTATAGAAGAAAGTAAACAAAGAAAAGATGGAAGAAAAAGACAGAAACAGAGAAAAGAAGGGAGATATGATAGAAAGTATAAAACGAAAGAAAGGAAACAGTTCGTAAAATTGACTACAATGAACTACACTAATTAGTACATTAAATTTGAATCTGACAGTTTGAAACAAACCCTGCCCACTCCAGGATCTTCAGCTGGAGTAAGCTGTAAATCAATATCAAGGCAAACGTATTATACAAATCTTGAGAAATGTGCGGGTACATGATTTATCCACATACTCTTAACGCAATATTATGGTTCAGAAATGTGGTCCACCAAAGTGATTCTTTCGTCGATTCAACGTGGTATGGTACGAGTATTTACAATACTGCATAACGTGCCTTCGTGTCCTCACATTATAATCACCAAAATTCGACCCACGAGCGTGCGTGCTGTCGGGAAATGAAGTAAGCAAGATTGGCGACTTGCTGAGACGCAGTGTAACCTCACTGATGAGAAAGTAGGCTACTAATACTACTATTAAAAAATCTCTTAAAATCGTTGAAGGAATATCATATTTTGTTGACAATCTGTCTGTCTGTCTGTCTGTCTGTGTGTATGTATGTATGTATGTATGTATGTATGTATGTATGTATGTATGTATGTATGTGTGTATGTGTGTTCGTGTGTGTGTTCGTGTGTGTGTGTGTGTGTGTGTGTGTGTATGCATTTATGCATTCATGAGCATGCAGGCAGGCTTGCATATGCCTGCACACACGTAGCCAAACTCACCAGTGTTTCTGTTTCTTCCCGTAGATTTTGTTTTTCTCTACATCCTTATTTGAAGACGCCGGGGTTTCGACAAAAGACGCCAGATATGCCACATCCGGTACAGGCATCATATTCTTCATCTGCAACATAGTGTCCATTGCGATCATACCTAGGTTTGGCCGCAAGACCATCTTCACGGCTGGAACTCTGGGAATGGGACTCGCATCTGCAGTTATAGCAATCACGATGGTCTATAAGGTCAGTTTGCTAAATTCATAACGAAATCGATATTCCTTTTGTTCCTTCCCTACGGATTGTGCTGACATGTCAGTTGGTTTTTACTTTGCCCTGCTGCACATTTAGTCGGCCTTGATTCAAATTCGAAGTTTGAATAAAATTAAGTTGGTTTTTTTTTAGTTGGCGTTTTGCATCGACATTATCTAGGTAATTTATTAGGGGTGGGGCTTTATCCTATTCTGACAGAGCCAAGCCATGCTGAGAGGGACATAACGCCCCAGCAGAAAGATGGGAGATACTCGACAAATTCTTTCCTCCACCAAGGAAGAGCAGTGGATTTTCTAGGAGTGCATTTTACTCTTGAACCATTCTGATCGCAGATGTAGGTTAAATCTAAGGTCTTGTCTCTTTATTCCATTATTCTCGGTGGTTTTTGAGGGTAGTAAACCCATGGCTAAACGAAGAGAAAAAAAAAGCGGGTGATGGGGAGTTTGCGTGTGTGTGTGTGTGTGTGTGTGTGTGTGTGTGTGTGTGTGTGTGTGTGTGTGTGTGTGTGTGTGTGTGTGTGTGTGTGTGTGTGTGTGTGTGTTGGGGGTGGGGGGGGGTGGAGCTTAGTACCTATATAAGATATCTTTACGGGTATCGTCTTTACACTTTCATCACACCCATGTGAGTTTAGACCTGGAACGACTTTTCTCCAAAAGCTGTATTGATTAAAAGTATCCGCATGTCTATCTATCTACCCACGTACTTTGATAACTGTCACAGCGTGAAAACGCACAAAGACACTTTGCCATAATATTACTTTATCCACACACACTTACACTGACGCATTTTCCTTCTAGCGTTTGGGCTACGGGTAAAAACTGGTATTTTTAGAACAACCTCTTAGTACAGACAAAACATGTCTTGCTCGAGGCAATCTTCTTCTGAACATTAATGAACTTGACCGTATGTAACATAAAGGCGTGCTTGCAGCTAAACGCACCCCCCCCCCCCACCCCCTGTGTTTCTAGAAACACACGATTAGATGAAATTACTTGCCAAAGTTGGCAGTTTTCCTAGGCTGATGGAACTCTGCCCGTCTGCTTTTGCTATTTTGTAAGGAATATGGCTTGTTTATCTATCCAAATGGCTGCCTCTAGCAAGATGTTGGTTTTTGACTTGGCCAGTAGGAGGAACACGAAATCTGTATTCGACACTGTTAAATTCAGTTTACAGGGTAATGATCATGTTAACTAACATTGATTTTGTTGTTGTAAAAACTCCGGAATTTATTTGATCTAATGGGCACAACAGGGGACCCCAGGTGGAACCTCCCGTGAATTGCCGTGACAATATGGATATGCAAAACGCTTTTAATATTATATTACTCTTTTTAATTTGAGTGGGCTCAAGTAAGCTTTTATCTTTTAATCTGCCTGTAAATTAACATGTTTTTTGAATTTATATGCATATCTGATATTTGTATAAGTACCAGTCTGCTTCTCAGACGGCCTGATTACTTATTTGTACGCCTGTTTGAGCACCTTTCAATTTATTCACCTATCTGTCCAAAGACATGTGCTCACAAGCCCATGCATGCATACTTACCTACCTACCTCTACCCATCCGTCAACCCACCCACCTACCTACCTACCTACCTATTGCCTACCTACCTACCTACCTACCTACCTACCTACCTACCTACCTACCTACCTACCTACCTACCTATCTACCTACATACCTACCCACCTACTTACCTACTTACCTATCTACCTACCTACATACCTACCTACCTACCTACCAGCCTACCTGCCTATCTAACTACCCTATCTAATATACATGCAAACATATATACATACATACATACATACATACATACATACATACATACATACATACATACATA